AAACGTCGGCAGCGACCCAATCTGAACTGAGCGGTGTCAAAATCGCCGGGGGTAATTAAAGAATTTCAAGGACACATGCGCCGCTATGCGTCCTCACGTCGTATTCACACCCCCAGACATGCGTGGGTGAGTAACTAACGTAGACTTACATGCCATTGGTGGGTCGGTAAATTAGTGCGCTTCAATCTCACCCTGACCTGTGCGGCTGATCTACGAGCGACTGAGCAGAATCGATAGACCCTATGAAAACCTCGGTACACGTTTATCCCTCAGAACGGACCCCCACGATTAAGGTTAACGGTAGACGCGCACTAGTGTCTTAAACGCGAACACTGCCCGGCTAACAACGCACACAAAGCAGGTAACCGACTCTCTCCCAACCAACTCGATTAGGAAATGATGGCAAGTGGTCCTCTGAAGGCTCTTTTACGACCACAGCCAATGCTATGGCTTATTAAGTTAGAAAAAATTGCTACCACGACGAGGTGGTAGTTTGTAGAAAGCCATTGTCAAAAGGCAGTTGGGCCGCGTCTCGGAGTGGCTGAACGCTGCCGCGTTGTGGAGAGGAAATGGACCTCGCTTTCCACAGCCATTATGCCGGGGTTTCTCTTGCGCTTTTGCGGGAATATTTGACGGTCTCGCAATAGTTAATCTTGGGCGGCATTTGTTGTAGTTATTTCATGACGAAACTCTTTTCAGTGTTTTGATAATATCATTGTCAACAGAGATTGCATTACGGAGGAAACGCCACGGCTCTCGTTCTTGTGTTTGCGCATTGTGATCAGAAGAATTCAGATGCTCGGGCGCACCATGAACAAATATTGTTTAATTGCTATCCCTATTAGGAATATCGCGTTGGTCAGCTGCTTCTTTTGGTGAGCTTTCCAAGGTAGGCCAGGTAATATGCGCGCTGCGCTCGGTGAGTTACGAAGACGAACTGCTGAGAGCAGGACATCCTCTGTCTCATCTGCTGAGACTAGTTTTACTCGAAGAATTTGATCTTATCCAGAGTACACTAAGGTCGTGTGACCCGCTACGCGTTGCAGTAGAGCAGGCTCAACCCGAAGAACAATCGCATCGCAGATGGAACTCCACTGGTTTTAAACGTCTTGCAACTTGCCTTTTATTGTGCCAGATTTGGACTCGGGAACGTTGGTGCACACGAGAGTTAGCGCAGCGTGGTTTTGTCTAGCTAATGTTGGATTTATAGTTTTGCCGGCAATTTAGGTTGTTTAGAAGGCACCACTAGAGTCGACGGTGAAAGCTGCGTGCGCTACGCGGGCTCGGTACAGAAGAAGGACTTATATATGTCACTCCTTGTGTGTTTGTCGAGGCAATTAATGCGTACGTTACCTGCTTGTTATCTGCACCGGATTGCTTACGGCTCTGAGCTGTCGGTGTCATGGCTGAATCTCCAGGTGAAACGTCTATGGTTGGAGAAATGGAAGCACGCATGTTTGAGGCTTGTTCACTTATGGGTGTGAGGTGACCCAGTGGATTTATGGTCACAGACGCTGCAGTGCGGTTGGAGCGTCTATCTTTATTCTTCGGCTTAGAATCCGAGCTTATTTTGGCTGGGTGAGGTATAAGCGTGGCCATATTTACCTCCGTGCGATCGATCGTAGTATTTACAAATTGCGCGATTACCTCAGTCATTCCATGGCACTTTTTACTGAGAAAAGATACACAGTCGCAACTGGAATCAATTGACGTGTTGCGCAAAAGCAAATTGTGTCAGCAACTTTGTTTCTGTCCCTCTTCTTGACGGATTTGCCCACACACTGCGGACAGTATGATCTAATGCAGCTAAAACTGGTTACACCGAGCTTAAGGACTTTACTGCAATTGTCTTCGCAACATAGGCGACGTCGAACCATTGGAATACTAGTCGTCCTCTTATAGTTTGCAGCAAGGCCTATCTGGGCGCTTACCTTGATGAGTGTTATTTGAGCCGGGCGTGACTCACAAAGACGGCAGAACACGAATGCGAATTAAGAGTTGTTCAACCACACCAAGGTCAAGCGGCAGAGACAGATAGAGGTCGTAGCGAGAAGACTGTCGTGTTCAGCGATCAATTGACTCGCAGTTGAACACACACATCCGCACAAAACGGCTGCGTGTGTTGATCGGCCTGTCTTAAGCGACGATGCAGATGGAGCTCTGATAAGCGTCCCTAGAGCTGTTCAGTTGGTGAGCGGATAAAACTGACTGTGCCTTTGTTATGCTGCAACCTGCAGGGATGGTTGCCGCGTAGTTTGGGAGCCCTCAGCCTCTGCTTTCGAATGAGACCAAAATCTTTTACGATAATTTCCGGTTTGATGTAGTTACATAAGTAGAACTCGGCAAAGAATATGCCAAAAACTGGGAACTGGAGCAGGAGTACAATCCACACAGGTTAGATTCAAGAGTTGGGAAGCACTGAGTTGAGCTCATAGAACTGATTGGAACGAGCGCCCACACAATATCGTGTGGGGAGAATTAGAGTGGCCACATAGGGTAAAGCGAGTGCCAAGTTGAAATGCGGCCGCACTGAGGCACAAAGAACCCCTTCTTCCAATTTTCAATGCTGTATATTCTGATTCTCTTCATGCTAGTAATTCTGCGCCATCGGCAACTCGAAGACCGAGATATTTGTCTTGCCTACCGTCGAACAAAGTTTTCACCGCTCGGGGCCACTTGGCGTAATAACAATTTTGTGTCAGCGGCACGTTGCCAAATTCAGCTACAACTTACGAATTTGTCCTTATCTGAGGTGACTGTTATCTATGCGTACCAAATTCCATCAGGTCATCCACGAATTTCGGGATTTAGGAAGTATTCGGCTTAGGACATAGCATCTCAACTGAAGTCCGCAAAAACCCTGCTCATTGGCTAGTGGCAGTCCATTCGATATAAAGACAGAAGTCCCGTGGTTTGTTAGCCGGTGTTATGCATATTTTACCTCATCGTCTTCTCCATCTTCCTTTGGTAGGCGAATAATGCGACTACTGCGGTGCAATCAAACCGGTCGCTGAGGCACCTTGATCTATCATTGAAGTCTTCCAAACTAATTACGTCTAAAGCTTAGTGGAATAGAAGCAAACCATATTTAATCTAGCATTTAAATATTTTCCACTTTTCAGGTTAGGATCTGCTGCGCATCCTTCAGTTTCAGATTTCGGAGGTGTTTTATTCATTCTTTTGCTTTACTTTTGATTCTTTATACTTTTCAGTTTGCAGTTTAGAGCACTCTTAACTCCGGTGTCTTCTTCAACCTTGAGTTTGATACAAAAGTGTGGCTGAACTTTTGATGTCGTTTGTCCATGAGCAATATTGTAATGTTCTGGGTTTACTGTGAATTCGTACTTAGCAGAATTCCGATTTTGTTAGATGCGGTTATTGTGTTGCCTTCTTATTTCAGAGTTTTTGCTAGAAGCTAATACTCTGCGGCTACAATACGCCCAAATTTTTTAACTTGCAGCCTCTACCGATCCTATAATGTCGTGCATAGTACCGACTCCATTTTTTACACATGTAACTTTAAACCCATTAATTGTACTAAGGAAGTTACGCTCACTGCGCGATCATAGCTCTCTAGGACCCGACAACAACGCCCCGACAGCAGTGAAGGCTGCGGCTACCAAGCTAGCTGAACCACTATCACAGTACTTTTCAAAGTGTTTTGATGAACAACCAGTCACACGATGTGGAAGTGTGGCGTTAGTATCCCAATTTTAACAGTTGGTAGCAGTTTCGAGCCTGCAAACTATCGCCCAGTGACTGTCCTCCCTGTATTCGCGAAGGTGATGGAAGCGGTTATCGTTGAGGCTGTAACGGACTACCTGGAAAAATGCAAATTCTTGGCAGCAGAGCAAAATGGCTTCCGTCAACAGGGGTTGTGCATCACCAATCTTCGGTACACGCCAACATACACAATAACCATTTACTTTGAATACCTTCAAGATTCCTCCTCGAGCCGACCACTGAAAGATTTGTTATCGCCCCTACTACCTACTAGTTCGAATATTTCACTTTCTTGTGACGTTAACAATTGTGAGTGTCAAAGCAATACTTGTTTGTCCCACAGACCTTCCCTAGCAGATCTTGTTTTCCTCACCACTGACAAGACAACTGCTCACTAAGTGAACAAAAGAATTACACGCCCTAGCTACAGCAAGACTTTTGTATTGTGTTAGTTCCATTTGTTGCTCGCTGCAAAACACCACATTTCAAGAAAATGCCTCTTATTTAGCATAATTGTTGACAGCGAAATAGAGTATGGGCTACAGTTGTTGTGTTGTCATAAATAATGTAAGCTGCTTCCATAAGCATCGACGTTCTTGTTATGCTTCTATACAGGCGACCATCGTAAATTTCCTTCGTGCAAACGAAATTTTGGGGTGCCGATTAAAACGTAATTAAAATTTCTTAACTTGTCACAGGAAGCAGATAGAAGAATGACTCTTGGCGGTGAGACAGTGTGTATGGTCTGCTCAGTTCGCACCTAATTAGCTGTCTACGTTGCATTTGTAACATGATCCTTTAATTTCGATTGTTTACTCACACTAAAGTTGATATGTACCGTAGTATATTAATAAATACTTAAATAAACGTTATATTTCTATGGTAATAGATATTATTCAGCAGCTGTGAACCGATTATAGCGTACTGATTGCGTTTATGATAATTGTACACATTTTGCTAAACGAAATAAACATATGTTCATTTCCGCTGACACTTTCTTGGGCGAATTCATCCCCTGAAAAGATGTTCTTGCGCAAACCTTTAGGACCGAACAAAATTCTTGGTTTGATTGGAGTAAGGTTGCGAATAACGATAATCCGGC